TGATGGAATAATAATAATTGTCGATGATGTATAATATCAATTTGTTCCATTGAGTGAAAAAATTGGGTACAAAACGAAAAAAATTTACTTCAACTTCACTCATGAATTATGTGTGCGATGAATTCGCAAAGACCTATCACTGTAAATAGAAATTCAGAATGGATTTAATTAAATTCTAATTGAATACCAAATTGGGTTTTAATTAGGTTCCTTTTGCTCTCTAATTTAATAATAGTTTAATTTCAGTTTGACTACAATAAGTTGATACTAACTAGACTTCAAATTAAATTCATATTTTTAAAAAATTGTGAGATAAACGCCATGTACTGTAGAACAAATTAGTACCGCTGCGCTGTTAAGGGGAAATATTGTGGATGTTATTTCAGATAATTATTTTCCTTCACAAAGTGATTAAGTGCGTTTTTACCCTCTTGGATAAACGTTTGCCCAACCGAGAATAATTCATTAAATTCGGATACTCTCGAGCTCTTAACTACTCCGAGCTGTGCAAATTTATGCCTCGCAACCGATGGAGGAGTCGGAAAACTTCTTTGCTCCTTATTATATTTATTTTGCAAATTATAATTCGAGTTTTTCGCTGTTGATGTTCGAAAAATAATGGACGAGCCGAGCACACTAATTACGTTAACGAAATGAAGTCGTTTTATTCGTAATTCGCTATTAAAAAATAATTAGGGGCAAACGGAGATTAGGTCAGCCTGCCGGAAAAATCTCATTTGTCAACATGTGACTTGCCTTTCACGTGCATGGGGAGGAATAATTAATTCTTGTAGACAATGGCTCCCTATTTCGGAGCAACATGCTACTCTTTTAGATATTCTAATGCAGAATGTGACTGATAAGGTCTTATTTACTCGATAATACCCTTACAACGGTTTGAATACCTCTCTTTAGAGGGTAGTTTATCCACAACTACCGATGAACTGACGGATATAGTGCTGTTATTTTACGGAAATGAGAACTTAAATATTATACCTAGTTCCCTTAACACTACTGGAGCACCCTCCTCGGTTTTCCAAATTTTATTATCGGCCCTACTAATTTTCTTAGTTGTTATAAATTAATTTAAAACAAAACATTCATCAAAAGGATGTTCAATGGCATGTACATACCAATGCGGTTTAAAAATATAAAAATAGTGTATCGCAGATAATAATTACGGAATACCGCATGGAACAGTGCTTGGACCGCTTCTTTTCATTTTGTATATAAATGATGTTTTCAGAGGTGTTGGAATTACTGTGTTTATAGATGACTCACAGTCAGTGTTATACAGGGTGTCCCATAAGCACATGATCAAAAAGGTACTGCGACATTCTTCGGCTTAAAAAAAGACGGTCTGACCTAACTACCATTAAGAAAAAATGTTTGGCTCCTCTGCTATTGATCGTGAAAGTTCTTGAAAAATATGTTTTTTGTAATATCTGGAGAATGTTAAGATACAGTTTAATGAAACTTGCTGTGGACTTGTTCCTAGGTAAGAGTCGTGTTTTGATGAAGCAACCGCGTCCATCTGACTTGAGGGAAGTGGTAAATTCTTAAGTGTCTTGGTACAAGAATTACCAAAACTTTTTATTTGGTCGCTAGAATCAATTTAATTTTTTTTTTTTATTGATGCATCAGTCCTTTTTCGAGATTTTCGCGCTATTGGTAAGATCTTGTAGCATTCATAGTTTTTACGCAAAACAATGTTTTCAATTTTAGATAATCATTGTCACTACTACTCAAGTACAACAACTACTCACTACAATTACTACTATCGTAGTAACCGATGATGTCATTTTATAATAAATTAATTGTCAATTTTTTTACGTTGGTTAGCAGACATTTTTTCTTAATGGTCAATTCGTCTTCATTTCAGCTAAGGAATGTCGCAGTACCTTTTTGATCATGTATACCCTATATGTATATCGCTGGAGAAGATATTTTAGAAATATACTAGGTTTCTAAATAAAGGTAAAGATAATGTCTATAATTAATTTATTTCCGAATCACAATATAAATTACATATGTTAATAGATTCGATGTATGTAAAATTTATAAATGTATGCATTGAAAATGTAACAAAAATAAGGTTTTTTAAATTTCTAAATAACATGTGAATTATATCTATTTCTCGAGAAAGTTGGATTTTTAAATTTTACAGATAAATATCGTACGAATATTGCCGTATCATTCAATATTTAGAATTTTGTTCCACTATCCTTTTTAATATTAATCACAATGAAATAATTACCGCAATTGGATCTGAAATGTCTCTAAAATAAGGAGTTATTTATAAGACATTTGCTAGAAAATCTTAATATATCTGTAATTCCTGAGCATAATTTGAATTAATTAAATTTCTATGTTCATTTAAAAAAAAAACCTAAAAAATTGACTTGTAATAGTATTTTTATGGAAGTATATTGGATTGATTTATTTTAACAATTTGAAGCTAGAAATAAAGAATTGTAAACTTACCATCAACCCAAAGTTAGTTTGAAAATGTTAAATAAATGCTAGAAATCGATAGAAACTCAAGTTTACGTCCGAATATATATTCCCTATGGAAAGTTTTTCCTGTATGCCAGTGATTTCAATATAATACAAACAGCTTTAGTTGAATATATCTAATAAATTCTGTTACTTTTATATCTACTATTTTTTGTGAAAAATGAATTTAACCTTCAAATGATCTTCAAGGACATCTTAGAAAAATGGTTTGATTCCAGAACCCGGCATAAAATTTAGCGCTATATCCTTTGCTGGCATAAAAATAATTTGATATTAAATTGACCTTATTTTGACCTTACAGCTTGTAGTGATGGTCAAATTAAGGTCACCACCTAATTTGTCATTAAAAATTTCCTGACTACATGTTCGGACATAAAATTTGGCGCTCTATCGATTGCTGTTATCCTTTGTTTGCCCTTGAAACTTAAGGTCAAACCCAAGGTCACCAGCAAATTGTTTGCTAAAACTTTTATCTGAAACTTTTGTGATGGGGCACAACCCTGAAAAGATGTCAGGGGATTCAGGACTTTTGGACACCCTGTATAGATTTTCGGTCCAACTAGCCAGTATTTCTTATATAAACGTAATGTGAATGTTAAATAGCTTAATCTAAATAAAAGACTATGATTGTGTTACAAATGCTGATGATTGTGTTCCCCTCAAGATTCAATTAAACAGGGTTGTGGAGTGGTGCGATTTAAATTATTTAAATTTAATGCGAACACGTATAATAAATCCCATTTCACTCAGCTTGACATTTTAACAAAGACAAAGGGTTTACTTTGACAATAAAAGCTTTGTTAAAATGAAACAACCACACGTTTTGTGCTCTAATAAGGAATATTCTTGACTTGTCCAATAAGAATCATGTAGGTAGGCAATGTGATTCCTTGTTCCATGCCTTGTTTAAGTAATTTTCGTAGGAGCAAGAAGCCGATGCTCCTTACTTGTATGTTATTTCAAGTGCGATGAATTATCGCAGAACCGGCATTTATCTTTTGGTACCTTTTTTCAAACGTTAAAATATTTTATAATTGCGCGATAATAATTAAGCCTGTGACGCCACTATAAACGCATAACCCTTAGATTCTCCAGAGTTTAGAAAGCAATTGTAACCTGAGGGGTTTTTTCTTTATTTATCTATATACTGTTATGACCAGTATTATAACGATACTGGATTTCAAAAGAGTTTACTATTAACGTCTCGAAAGGGAGTTTATAATTTGTATCATCTACATTTTAATTAATACGTGGGAATTCAGAAATGTTATACGTTCAGAGAGTGACTTCCAAACACTTACTGTACGTCGCTCAAGGAGAATGTAATGCAGTGGTTGATTGTATAGGGTGACACTTAAGTTGGTGGAACAAGAAAACACCAAAACTTTCCAGGAAGGGTTAAATTGAATTTTTCATTTTCTAAACAAATCTCATACTTCAAAATATATCAACACAAGTTAGTGAAACACATCCTGAGGAAGGGTCAGCTCTAAACCAAGTTATTGTACAAGACTAGTTCTTGTTAGCGTTCAAGCAAAATAAAATTAAAAATTGGGTTGAAATGGCTTAACTATACCATGTCAATACCTAACTGACTGAATTTACAATTGTATGGATAATTTTGAGACTAAACTGAACTTACAAATAACCATACACCTTTCTCTTGTGACCCCGTATAGCAACACGGGACAGATTAGTCAATCTCATTTAATTTATTCTTATAGCTTGGAAAATTCGCCTAAAAACCATCTATTTGATCTATTATTATTTTCCTCATAACATTCTAACAATTTATTTAAATATCTTGGAATTCCTACGTCTTTTCGAATATAATTCGCAAATTATTAGAAATATCAATTTCTTCACCATGGGCTAAACCGACGCAGTTAGTCTATACCACATGCCCAGCACATGGTCCCGACGATCTAAGTCCACTTGTTCAAAAACATTGCTAAATCTCATGAGGCCTTCTCCGAAGAACGGCTTTGCAAATTTATTACTCCCGGTGACAACAGGCACCAGTTTCTCAACGACTTTATGGCGACGCTAAACCTACTTGAAAACCCTTAACTTTTCAATAATTATTGTTGATTAAATTGGCCCATTCATCCCGAAAACTAACAAATAATCTGTCACGAGTCTTTTGTTACACAATTTTTACACAATAAATAATAACTTTTTTCTATGTATCTATTTTCCCATTATTGGAACGAAATAAAATTAAATATAAGCGATCTTTCAAGGTATGTTTTAATGAAAATTACTCCGCCCATTTTATGCATTACGAAATTTCCTCTGCACTTTGCGCTAAGCCCACATTCGTCCGCATTAAACTACAAAAATCCCTTATAACTAAAGTGCATTAACGGCGTTCTAACCCCGGCACGCTTAAGTGCATACCCCAATAACAAGCGGGGAGTCCTTTTCATTTCATCCGCTTCCGCCCGACTGCCTTTATTAATTTTGCCTTTCTTTCATTCCAGGACCTCCGCGTGCTCGAGCTGCGAGGGTGCGGAATCAAAAGAATAAACACTCAACTCTACCACTTGCTGCCTTATCTCTCTCATCTGGACCTGGGGAACAATCGATTCCAGTTCCTGGCCGAGGACGAGTTCCAGGACCTGCACCGCCTGCACAGCCTCAAGCTAGACGGCAACTTGCTGCCCGTCATCCTGGACAAGACCTTCGTCAAGCAGCAGCAGTTGAAGTATCTCTGCCTCGCCAGGAATAGGTTAGCTAAGATAACGGACGCCGCTTTTGTCAATCTGACGAACCTGGTGGAGCTGGACATCAGCTTCAACAGGATGAAGAAGCTGGACAGCGTGGCGTTGTCCCATTTGGCGGATACTTTGCAGAAGTTGCTGATCAGCGGCAACAAGTTCCCTTGGAGTTTGATGAAACCTATTTTCCAAACAATGAACAAGGTTTGGTATTTGGAGATTGCTCAAATGAACCTCAGAAGCATCCCTGAGAGGTTCCTACCAGACAGGATTAAGAATTTGAATGTTTCTTGGAACAATATAACATCTGTAAGTGTGCAAGCGTTTCCCAGGCACCTACAGGACATTGATCTGTCACACAATGAACTCAAAGGATTAAACGATAGCGTTATAATAAAACTAGAGACTTTAAAGCATGTGAACTTGTCCGGTAACCCTTGGACCTGCAGTTTATGTCACATTACCTCAATATTGTTTCGCGTGAACAAAACGGAACTTTTTAAAAATTTAACATGTGCCTCTCCCAAGAGTCTGAAGGGTCTAAAGCTCAGCGCCCTTCGCTTAGAAGACGTGACGACGTGCAGGTCGAAAAACGACGACGATAGTTCTTCAGGTGATAATAAACTAAGTTTGCTCATAGGGTTAATATGTATTGTGATTCTTGCGATCTTATCGATAATTTTCGTTGTGTGTTCGTGTGTGAGAAGACACGCCAGGAACTTGCAGAGGCAGCAAAAAAGAGCGGCCGAGGAAGCTGAGAACAGTCTGAGAAGTGCTACGGCGATATTCTGCAAAGGGGAGATTAGTTTTAAGTTTCCTTTGGACTTGACGGAGAGAAAGATGTCGGTGTCGACCATCGATGAAATCAAGAGGGATTCCCAACAGAGCTTGCCTAACGGGACGGGAACTGGGATTTGAAAGTTGCTCAAAATTTTTGGTAAACTTTGTGGAAAACAGACTGTACGTTTCAAAATTGTCACTGTCTATGATAAAAAGAGCTTGGGCTTAGCGTGATCATTACCACCAAGATTATGAAGCCTCAGTAGTACACTCGTGACGTCACTTCGGTGATCACAGATATATCATTCATTTAATTACACAGACACACAAAATAAAAAAAATATAGGCCGACTATACTTTACTATCTACATGTACAGTTTTACGTTTGAATTTTTCTATTCAAGATCACAGAATTTTAAAAGATCATTTTCAACTTTTTTTCAAAATAGTTATATAGGAACAACCAGGAAGCGTAACTAGTGTCAAATTCGTGTTTAGCGCATCAACTTGGTCAAGTTATTCGGTTAGGCAGGCCCAGTAGGACTAACGAGTATTCAGCACATCAAAATACTTAAGATTATGGATTTATCCGGTCCAAGTAAACTTTTAAAAACATTGCTGATGCCCATTATTCGGCTTTTCCAAGATCGTTCGGGATTTTTAGTCATTTTCTAATAATAATAATAATAATGCATTTATTGCCCAATAGAACAAATGTTGACAAAAAATGACAAAACAGTATAGACAAAATATAAAAAAAACATAATTCTAAATAAATACACAGATATATAGACTACAAAATACGTTCTAGTTTCTACAATATCAGTAAATTAAAAATTCAATTTCCTCAGATAACAAATATTAAATTATAATTATTTGCCATGACATACATGGGAGATTTTAGAAGTACGTTGGTTTTAGCATTCCCACAATAGAACATTCAATCAGCACGAGACCCATGTCTAGGAACTTGTATATTGAAGGAACCCAGTAGATATGCTGAGTCAACACCGACATGAAAAAGTTTAAATAAGAAAAATAAACCATTGAGTATTCTTCTACTCTGGAAAGACTGCATTTTGAATCGATCTAACAGCAGCCTATGTTCATATCCTCTGTTTGGATAATAACCATCAATTGGAAAGCTTAAAAATTTAACAAAACGACGTTGAACTTTTTCAAACTTGTTAGTATGTATCTGTAAGGGTACCATATAAAACTGCAGTATTCTAATTTAGAACGAACTAATGAGTAAACTATTTCAATGCAGTAACATTATTAAAAAAACCTGAATTTATGACTATTTAACTCAAAGCTCTATTAGCCGCATTTATAATTACATTGATATGTTCAGTGGAGGACAGTCTATTGGCATATATTACACTAAATCCCTAAAATTATCGCAACGTGCCAGTAAATTTTCAAGGGTGTAGTTAAATATTAACGGTTCTTTTTTTGGAAATAAATTAGCAGACCTTACACCTTATCTATATTAATAGGTAATAATTGATTCACAGCCACACAAAAAAAAAGTTGGGTATACTTTTTTTGCGACATATATTTTTCGTAGTAATTTGGCCTCCTGAACACGAATCTGGGATCAGAATTGGCCCATCACGTCACAATTTTTTTCCTAACCTCAAAAAACTTGTGAAAAATAGTAAAAATTGATGAAAATTTACTGGGAAAATTTGGAAAAAAATTTATTTCCACATCAAATAGTACATTTTTATGTAAAAGACTCTGCTGAATTCAAATCCACTGTCAGAATTGAGCTAGAACGTGTGGTTTTTTTTCTAACCTCAAAAAACCGAGCAGGAATCGCTATTTTCAAATTCTGAGCGGATTTTGACCAGATTTTGTATAAAGGGGTTTTTTGGGTCGCTGATTACGAATATGAATTCACATTGTAAAAATTCAAGATGGCTGATCCAATATGGCGGGTGTACTTTTTTGAAATCCACCGATTTCAGTAAAATTTGGCATCATAAGGATTGCTGGTTGATCTCACCTTCATTAATCACACATCTGGAGCCAGATTTTCATAAATCAAGGTAAAAGATTCCACTCCGTCTAAAAATGTGACTTCGCTTAAAAAAATGACTTAAGGACTCTACACATGTAATGATGTGTAGTGTGATGTGCTTGTTTCCATGGGACAAGACAAAAAAGTTTCTACTTTATTCTTTCATTTATTTAGTCGTGCATGGGCTTATGGTTTTCCAATCAGATTTTTTTAACTACTATGCAGTTTTCCTATGGCATTTAGATGCTTTTATTTCTTAATAATTTTAAAGTTCAAGGAAAAGGACACATTACTGCCACACAGCACATCACTGCATCTGCTTATGCCTTCAATCTAAAAATGTGACTTTGCCGAAAAAATGCCGCCTACTCGGCCTAAAATTATGACTCTGCCTACAAATTTTACCTTGATTTATGAAAATCTGGCTCCAGATGTGTGATTAATGAAGGTGAGATCAACCAGCAATCCTTATGATGCCAAATTTTACTGAAATCGGTGGATTTCAAAAAAGTACACCCGCCATATTGGATCAGCCATCTTGAATTTTTACAATGTGAATTCATATTCGTAATCAGCGACCCAAAAAACCCCTTTATACAAAATCTGGTCAAAATCCGCTCAGAATTTGAAAATAGCGATTCCTGCTCGGTTTTTTGAGGTTAGAAAAAAAACCACACGTTCTAGCTCAATTCTGACAGTGGATTTGAATTCAGCAGAGTCTTTTACATAAAAATGTACTATTTGATGTGGAAATAATTTTTTTCCAAATTTTCCCAGTAAATTTTCATCAATTTTCACTATTTTTCACAAGTTTTTTGAGGTTAGGAAAAAATTGTGACGTGATGGGCCAATTCTGATCCCAGATTCGTGTTCAGGAGACCAAATTACTACGAATAATATATGTCGCATAAAAAGTATACCCAACTTTTTTTGTGTGTGGCTGTGTATTGTTCTCACACCATCTACTTACAAGATCTACCTGCTCTTGCGGTATTAAATAATCTTTCAAACTAGATACGTTCAGAAGTAGTTTCAAGTCGTCGGCAAAAAATAGATGATTAGATTTTAGACACAGAGATAAATCATTAATATATAAAATAAAAAGAGTTAGCCTAAATTTGGCCCTTGGGGTACTCCAGATGTCGCTATAAAATTGTCATATTTAAATCCGTTGTATAGGACATTTAGTTCACGTTGAGAAAGATATGATTTAATGAGAAGGATCAGATTATCGTTTAAACCAAACAAACTTAACTTATTAAGAAGTATGCCATAATTAACTTTGTCAAAGGCCTTCGAGAAATCTGTATACACCGCATCAACTTGTCCCGTGTTATCCATATGATATGCTGTAGTTTGAGTATATTGAGCTAAATTGGTTACAGTAAATCGTCTATAATCCTTGACAATACTAAAGATTAGAGTATATAGAGGAATCTCTAAAAACCTTTGCGAAGTTGGACAAAATTGCAATAGGACGATAATTCCTCAAATTCGCGGGATCGCCGCTTCTAAGTATAGGACATATTCTTGTTACTTTCCAAATATCGGAAAAAGTTGCTGAAAAGACTATAAGATTAAATAATTGTAGTAGTGGTGTAATTAAAATTCCCGAGCAATTCTTTATTAGGAAACTGGGAATTTGATCATCTCCGTATGTCTTTTTATTTTTCAGCTTGAAAATAGTGCGAATATCATTCTTAGTAAACTGAAACAAGTTAGAACTAGACTGATAGATGTAATTTGATAGATTTAAAGCATATCGGTGGCAAAACAGGCGAAAAAAAAATGACAAAACCATTGACTACACCGTTGGGATCATTATCCAAGAAAACTTCATTTGGTATTCGGGAACTGCGTTTTTTACTGTGAATAAATGACCAAAAATTTTTCGGATCATGTTTAAAATTTATTTGAATGTTAGTGAGATAATTTTTATAAGCAACTGAAATATCCGTTTTATCAATAATTCTCAAACGTTTAAACTTATAAAAATGATACATACTACGACACTTTTTAAAGTTATTATGATGATATGCTTCTAGTTTTATGTTATTAATTATTTGACTAGTGTACAGAGATGGGTATTTTCTTTTAAACTTCTTATATACAGCAATCCACTGATCAAATAAATCATAAGCAGATAGAGTAGATTTTTAGGGATTTACTCGAATTATGTCGTTGTTAATGTGAAACTAATGACAAATACATATGGACAGTGGTAGTGAGATCTCCAGGTCAGCCCACTTTTTTATTTTGTGTGCCAGTCTTATTTATTATCATTCCACAGCTGAAGTATGTATTACATATTATGCGAATGTAACTAAGGCTTTATATTATAGGTGATAATGACATGATCTACTTTCCTCTTCCATAAATCTCATTAAAAGAATGTGGGAGTGATTTTTTTCTATCAAAAATAGAATATTGAATTGACTGGTTGTCTGTCGCTCTGATGGGTTTCCCCACATAAAATCCGTAGCCAAAGACGGGCATCACGTGGGATCGGGTTGTTTTAAAATATAAAAAACCAAGTGGGCCGGGACGGATTTGTNTCTTTTACATAAAAATGTACTATTTGATGTGGAAATAAATTTTTTCCAAATTTTCCCAGTAAATTTTCATCAATTTTTACTATTTTTCACAAGTTTTTTGAGATTAGGAAAAAATTGTGACGTGATGGGCCAATTCTGATCCCAGATTCGTGTTCAGGAGGCCAAATTACTACGAAAAATATATGTCGCATAAAAAGTATACCCAACTTTTTTTTGTGTGTGGCTGTGTATTGTTCTCACACCATCTACTTACAAGATCTACCTGCTCTTGCAGTATTAAATAATCTTTCAAATTAGATACGTTCAGAAATAGCTTCAAGTCGTCGGCAAAAAATAGATGATTAGATTTTAGAGACAGAGATAAATCACTAATAATTAAAATAAAAAGAAGTGGCCCTAAATTTGACCGTTGGGGTACTCCAGATGTCATTATAAAATTGTCAGATTTAAATCAGTCGTATGAAACATAATGGTTCACGTTGAGAAAGATATAATTTAATGAGAAAAATGAGATTATCGTTTAAGGCAAATAAACTTAACTTATTAAGAAGTATGTT